ATCATGCCACCTCCAGTGGCTTCTCTCTACATCCATACTCCTTATTCTGTTTTACTGCACATTCTGTTTCTGTCTAGCCTCCAACTTTATCCCATGCCACCTCCCCATATCACTGTGCTTCAACTACGTTGCCCTTTTTTTTTTGTTTCTCAAACTAATTAAGCTCATTATTTCTTCAGTGCCTTTTCACTTGCCTCCTCAGGTCTTTGCATAGTTAATTCTTTGTCATTCAGTTTTAGTAAAGTAATATAGTAATCACAGCCCCCCATCTATTTCTGCATCATTTCGTTGTTTAAATTATTCACAGAAATTGTCACTAGCTGAAATTATCTTATTTATGTTTTACTTACTTTTTTGTTGCCTGTCTGTCCCCTAGAGTATGAGCTTCAGGAGACCAGGGTCCTTGCCTGTCTTGTTTACCTTGTGTCCACACAGTTGGCGTTCAAGTAATATTTATTGAATGAATGAGTTGCGAAACGATGAGAAGCTGGAGTCCATTCCGGCCCTAGGTTCCCTGTTGCATCTCCTTTTCTCTGTCGTTGACACCGTTGACCAATATTAACTCGTAGAGGAGCTTGCACCTGTCATGTGACTTCATTCAACCTGCTTCCTCATTTGGGAAATGGGAACCCTACCCCTTACTGAGCCAACTCCAAGGGATGCTGGAGATGCAAGGAGCCTGGGGGGCGGGGGTAGAAAAGCCCACTGATGATCAGAATTGAATACATGTGGCCTGGTTGGGGGAGCACCTCACTCCTGCTTCCCCACCAAACCCTTCCCACTCAACTCTGTTCAACCTGGCCTGCTTCCTCCTCTCTGGGTCACTCACACAGCCTCATGTGCCTTGCCTTCCCCACCCCTGACCCTCCAAAGGTCTTATTTTATAGCTTCTTGTGAGGAATTCACAGGAGGCCATGACCCTCACTGGGAGAAAGCAGAGGCTGTAAAAGGCCAGGCTTAGCTCCCTGCTCCGTGGTTAAACATTGATAATACCAGGAAATACAGGCCTGGAGTGGGCACACCACACAGCCCCCTGCAATGACGCGACCTTCAGATGGAGGGTCCTCCCCAGCCCATTCCCCTGGGCTGGCAAGAGGGTCTGGATGTTTTCTTTTTACTTGAGGCCAACAGACAAGAAGGAGAGCGCTGGGCTCCTGGTTCTTGCTGATTGTGAAAGTCAGGTGGAGCCTGTTTGCCATCTGAGACCTCTCATTGAAGAGGTCAGTCACCCCCAAGCGACAGAGAAGTCTCCGGGCGTGTGCTAAATGCAGAGCTACCAGATGGGCCTGGCTGCCCCAGGCTCTGCAGCGCTGCCCACTAGGTGACAGCTGTGCGAAAGCTCAGGTGCAAAGACCATCGGTATTGCCCAGAAAGGAGGAAGAGGAACAGAGAAATCGGTGCTGCTTGCAACAGCAGATCAGACAAGTCCTCGGAACCCAGGACCCAGGGTGAGTGTCTTCAACCTTCCATGGGGATGGGTGGCCCAGGTTCTCTGGCAGGAATCACTGTCCGATGACAGATGGTTAAGCCCTGTTTAAAATGCAGAAATCTCCTGGAGGGGCCTAAGGAAACATGACAACTAAATGCAATATGATATCCTGGATGGGAACCTGGAGCAGCAAAAAGACATTCATGGAAAAATGAAATGCAAATAAATCATGAAGTTTAGTTAATAATTTTTAAAAAGCAGAGATATTAATACCATGCTCACTCTAGAAGAAAATTGGATAAGTGCTCTGAGAGAACTGTGTCCTTTGTTTCTGTGGCATCTAACACAGTCAGGGAGGGCTGACTTGTATCCATCTTATCATTTTGTTTGTTTCATTTGTTGGTATATTTTTATTATAACAATATTATACATGTTTAAAACACACATTCCACTGTGGACATCAGCCCACATGCAAATGTGTACACTTATCTGATTGGTTCCAGTATCGCACTATCTTGATTACTGTAGTTTTAAAGTGAGTTTTGAAGTTGGGAAGCATCAGTCCTCTGACTTTGTTCTTCTCCTTCAAGATTGTGTTGACTATTCTGGGTCTTTTACCTCTCCATATAAACTTTAAATCCAGTTTGTCAATATCCATAAAATAACTTGCTGGGATTTTGACTGGGGTTGCACTGTATCTATAGATCAAATTGGTAAGAACTGACATCTTGATTAGTTCCACTAATTAAACATCCAAAATTGGAATTGTCTCAAAAGGTATAAATACAATATATACATACTTTTTTTATTGAGGTATAGTTTATTTACAATATTATATGTTTCAGGTGTATAACATAGTGATTCATAATTTTTTAGTGTTATACTCCATTTATAGTTATTATAAACTATTCCCTGTACTGTGCAGTATATCCTTGTAGCTTATTTATTTTATACATAGTAGTTTGTACCTCTTAATCCCCTACCCCGATATATTGCCCCTCCCCCTTCCCTCTTCCCACTGGTAACCACTAGTTTGTTCTCTATATCTTTGAGTCTGTTTCTTTTTTGTTATATTCACTATTTCTTTTCTGTTTTATTTTTTAGATTCCACACATAAGTGATATCATACACTATTTGTCTTTCTTATGACTTATTTCACTGATTTGTCTTTCTTGTGACTTATTTCACTTAGCATAATACCCTTCAAGTCCATCCATGTTGCTGCAAATGGCAAAATTTCATTTTTTGTGGCTGAGTAGTATTCCATTATATATATATACCATATCTTCTTTATCCATTCACCAGTTGATGGACACTTAGGTTGCTTCCATATCTTGGCTATTGTAAATAATGCTGCTGTGAATATTGGGTTGCATCTATCTTTTCTTTTTGAAAAATAAATAAATAAATTTATTTATTTATTAAATTATGGCTGCGTTGGGTCTTCGTTGCTGCACTCGGGCTTTCTCTAGTTGCGGTGAGTGGGGGCTGCTCTTCGTTGCAGCGCACGGGCTTCTCATTGCGGTGGCTTCTCTTGTTGTGGAGCATGGGCTTTAGGTGCGCGGGCTTCAGTAGTTGTGGCACGTGGACTTAGTTGCTCCGTGGCATGTGGGATCTTCCCCAACCAGGGCTCGACCCCGTGTCCTCTGCATTGGCAGGCGGATTCTTAACCACTGCGTCACCAGGGAAGTCCCTGCATCTATCTTTTCGAATTTGTGTTTTCGTTTTCTTTGGATAGTATATACATACGTTTAAAATACATACAAATACACAAAATATATATTTAGAATATACATACAAAATACATACATTTAAAAAATGTAATTACATGTATTGCTTTCACGAAGGTAGTATGTGCTCACAAGAAATGTATACAATACAAAGTGTTCAAAGTGGATGTCCCATGGGTCTAGGCCCCATCCCACTTCCCCAAAGGGAGTTGGTGTTTGGTGTCTTGACCTCCATGCTCTTTTCTCTGTGGGTATTCAGGGGGGCTCTGCATATGCAACAGGGGCCTGTGGCCAATGTTACTAATTGATCCAGGTACTCCTGCATCTGAGACTGGACAGAAACTCACAGCCCTTCTTAGCAAGTGCTCTGGACAGTTGGGGCTGGAACACAAGATCACATCGATTCGCCACTCCTGTAACTTTGTTTTTCCATTATTCAGTATATATATTATATCCTTCAAATGAGTAAGTAGGTAGTAGGCATCTGAGTCCCTGAAAGTCTAAAAAAAAGTCTTTCTTTCCCCCTGACTTCCATCTCTATCTTGACACATGAATGATCATTCATATAGGAAAAACTCAGCTCAATATTATATTGGTGTCAAAATATTTTCCCTCAAAAAGTCTGTAGATGTTTCTTCAGTTTTCTCAGAGCTGGAGAGTTGGAGAAAACTCTTGATGGCAATCTTTTTATTAGTACCTTGTTCTTCTGTTTGGCTGTTTGCCATCCATTTGTTTTCGGATGTTCCTGGCTGAGCCTCCAAAGGCTATTTTGGAGTGGAAGGCAGTGTCAGAGCGGGGGGACTTGAGATGGCCTCTGGCCTCTCTTGTTCTCTCTTTGCCTCATTGTCTTTTTAGCCCTATGACATGATTTCATGATTGGTCTGTTCAAAACCCTTCTCCTGTTTTATTTCTTTACTTGGATCTCCATTTCTGTTACCTTTTTCTTCTCCCCACCCCCAGTGATAATTATCCTAATGTGTTGAATGTGTCTTTTTAAAAACGTGTTTTTGTAAAATGTGTGTTGTTGTTTTGTGTGCATATGTGAATTTTCATAAACGGTGTGGCATGCCCCCTTATGATCCTCAGGGATACTTTCTTTGAGATATAAATACACTCAGGAGTAGAACTGCTGGGTCATGTGTACACTTACTTTGACTAATTTGCTCCCTAGATGGCTGCCCCAGTCTACACGCCCTGGCAGTGCCTAAGGCTATAGCCCCAGAGCCCTGCCAACACATAGCATTATCTACCTTCCAAACTATGCCAATCTAACAGATGTCAAGTGGTGTTTCATTTTGTTTTAATTTTCATTCTTGTTATTGCCAAAGAGTTTATTTTCATATTCTTGCTAGCCTTTTGGGTTTCCTATTTTGTAAACTGCCTGTTTATATCCTTTACACATTTATTAGGATTCTAGTCTTTTTCTTCTTAATTTGCGAGAATTCTTTGTATATTCTAGATATCAGTTTCTCCTTGGAGAATGGGAGTCCCCTGCAAGAGTCCCACAGCCCATCAGTGGCTCAGTCCTCCTCACTCCCAGGTCTTCCCCACACATGATGAGTTTTCATAAAGATCTGAGTGACTCCCACTTCTATGGTCTCTGCTTCTCCAGGCCCCACCTGTTCCGGGAGTTCCAGCTGTTTTGGTCTGAGGGGAGCTGGGTTTGGGCAGGGAGGGGAGAGTAAACTGGGGTGGGATACCCAGTCATGCTCTCTGCTTTGTCTCCAGCAGGCTTTGGGGCTTTGCAAAGAGCCAGAACCTAGGAGGCCAGGAGAGCACCTGGGGGCGAAGGGGCCTAAGGAATTTGTTGTCAGAAACATATCCCAACCAGGAGCAGTGGCATGGGCTACAATGAGGAGCTTACTGGAGCCCCACCTGGCACCGAGGTGCCTCAGGAGCTGCTGGAAGAAATGCTTTGGTTTTTTCGTGTAGAAGATGGTAAGTGGTGGACACAACACAAAGAGAGGAATCTGGTTGAAGCCCCCTTCATGGTCCCCTCCTCTGCAGCAGACTGCACGTTTCCTCTAAGCCAGGGACTGAGGCTGAGGGGTCTCACTACCCAGAGGGGTCTGGCTAAATTGCACCCTCCTCTTCTCAGGGCTGGCCACTCATTTACTCATGCATCCTGTCATTCACAAATATTTATTAGGTTCCTTCTGTGCACCAGGCACTGTTCTCAGCACTGGGGTTACAGAAGGGAAAAAACAAAAATCTCCGCCCTCATGGAGCATACCTGCTAGTGAAAGAGACAGAAAATCAACAAATGACTAAAATGCACGGTGTGCTGGCGATGCATAATACAGAGAAAAACTAAGCGGAGAAAGGGGATAGCAGGTGTGCTGCAGGGAACATAATGTGGTCAAGGAAGGCCTCCCTAAGAAGGGGGTGTTTGAGTAAAGTTTGCAGGAGGTGAAGGAATTAGCCATGCAGATTATGTGGGGGAAGAACACTCCTGGTAGAGGGAACAGCAAACACAAAAGCTCTGAAGCTAGATCCTGCCTCACTTGGGTACAGTGTGGACCAATCTTGATTATCCAGATTCAGATTAGCCACTTCACACATTGTCTGTGGGCAATGTGTTGAATCCAATTTAACTGCCACCCCTTCTTTCTTTCCTCCCTCCCTCCTTCCCTCCCTCCCTCCCTTCCTTCCTTTTCCCCTTGTACTGCACTTGGCTAGCTCCTAGCAAAACTCTGAAGACTGTGAAGTTTATCTTCAACCACACTCCTCCTTTGCCCACTATTATTACCCAGCTGCAGTGCTGTCTCCCCCAGGTAGATGAGAGCTTCTTCAGAGCAGAGATCTTATCTCCCTCTCCCCGCCCAACACTGGACTGGGAGTTCCCACAGGGCAGGGGGCTCATTTTCAGCTTAGAGTCTCTCTACGATACCTGGCCCACAGCACAGGAAGGTTGATGCTGTGAGCTGGTCTGTTAGGGGCCTGAAGGGCACCCAGCCTCTCCTCAAGGCTCTGTCCTGTGTGTCCCTCCCCAGCAACTCCTTGGAATAGTTCCATGTTTGCCCTGGTGGCCGTGGTGGTCGTGATAAGCATTGTCTTCTTGGGAAGGAACACCCAGGCAAACAGGTGAGGAGCTGGTCTGGGGGTGGTCTCTGGAGGGGGTGGGCCCTGCCCTCCCAAAGGAAACCTAGAGAGGGGTCATCTAGGAGCCTTGGCTGTCCACCCTTTGGGACAGCAAAAAGCATCCTTTAGGGTCCTTTGAGAACCCAAAGCTGCTGAAAAACTGGCAACTGTCCCTGATGACCACTCCTTGGCCCTGGCCAGCAAACAGGGCACGGGCTGGTGGTGTATCTCAGAAGTCAGGATCTCTGGCTCTGGAGTCACACAACCTGGGTTCAAATTCCAGTTCTGCCACTCAGTAGCTGGGCAAGACGCTCAGTATCTCCAAGCCAGCTTCTTCTTCTATAAATGGCAGTAATAACGGATCCCCTCCTCCTAGGATTGTGGCGAGTGCACAGTGGGGGCTTTTGCAGAGTTAGGGCTGTTCTTAAAGGGGAAAGCCTTGTGCTGCTCCAAGGCCAAATGCAGGGCACGGAAAGAGACCTAAGGTCAGTCAGTGTTCCTGGGGTAATTTTGACATCTTTATAACAACAGTACTCCTTAACCCTGGATACACAACCAAATCACCTGAGGAGGAACATTAAAAACACAGAAATCTGTACCTCGCCTTGGAGATTCTGACACAAAGGGTGGGACCTGGGCATTGGCATTTTGTTAAACTCTCTGGATGATTCCAGGGCTAACTTCTGAGAGCTCCTTGAAGGCAGGGACCACATTTCACTCAACTTTGTTTCCCCAAGCAACTGGCACAAAGTCTAGCTCTAGAAGTTATTCAATAAATGCTTGGTTCACTCATTCCCATTCATTCAATAATTACTATAGCCCTAGTAACTAGCAGTAACTTTGAAACAATAATAATGAGAATCTCTCCCTCAGATCTGTATCATGTTTTACAATTTTAAAGGCACCTTCACATTCTCTCACTTGATCAAGACAGCCCTGTAAGGTGGGGTTGGCACAAATTACCTATTCCCACTGTACAGAATAAGGTCACTGAGGATCCGTGGAAGGGTTGGCCTAACCTTCCTATAGCTCTTCCTTCTGTGCTATATTTTATGTCATCTATGAATCCTCCACACAGTTCTGCTGTAAAGCCAGAAAGAAAGAACCCAGTGCCCTTTGCTCACATTGTTAACTAGTCGTTATGAACTGCTATGGCCCAGTCATCATTCGTTCCACAGAATAAGCTGAGCACCTGCCCTGCGCTAAGCTCCGCACTGAGAGCGGGGGCTGCGGGGCTGGGCAAGATAGATTCAGCCCTGGTCTTATGGAGTTTACAGTTTGGTGGGGAGATAATTGTAGTTTAGAGTGACGGGTGGCGACTGTGGGACATACAGAGTATTGTGGGAGCACAGAGATGGGATCTGGGGCCTGCGGGGCAAAAAGAGAGAGAGCGAGGGTGGGCTATGGAAGCCTTCCAGACCAAGGGACAGCACACACCAAGCTCGAGGAGGGAGGAGGAGGGCCCGTGAGGCTGCAGTGTGGAGTGTGGGGAGGGCAGGGGGAGAAGGAGGCCAAGAGGCAGCAGAGCCCAGAGTGAACAGGCCCTGGGGGCCATCCTAAGGAGTTCAGGTTCTAGCCCATGGGCATTGCGGAGCCAAAGAAGAGCTCTGCACAGGGACATGAACGGCTTATGTTTTAGCAAGATCAGTCTGGATGCAGGATATAAAAAGACCCAGAGGGTAGAGCCTCTAAGAAGGTGACCTTTCCTCTCTCACCCTGTCAGGAAGCATCCCCCTCGACAAGGTCACTTCAGAGACAAGGCAGGTGTCCTCAGAAGCAGCAGACACGGAGATACTCCCCTGTGGCCCAAGCAGATTGGGCGGTCGGCTCTAACCACAGCCGGGTCCCTCTACTATGGCCAGGAAACCTAGACGTGGATACTTTGAGTAGGACCACCTCAGAGGGGAGACATTTGGGAAGGTTATTGGAAGGAAGACTGGATCTTGAATGCCAGGTTAAGGAAGTGGGAGTGGGGAGCCACTGACGGCGCTTGAGCTGGGGAGTGGTGTGTACGCACAGGGACTTTAGAATCATGATTTGGCGTGTGTAGGCCAGTTTGGAGAAGTGAGCACCTAGCGGCAGGAAGATTAGTTAGGAATTTCCTGAGGCAGCTTGTCTAGAGATGGGGTGGAGTGAGGGTGGGGATGGGGTGTGGGGTGACAAGGACCTGCACTAAGTAGGACGACAGCCCTGCGATGAGAAAATGTGGTTTGGTGAAAAGAACACGGGACTCAGGGTCAGGAAACTTAAACGCACGTCCCAGGCATGTGCTCCTTTGGCCCTCTGAGCCACATTACATCACCTGTAAGGGGAGCAATAGTAGTTGAGCTCACAGGTGGCGCTGAGGATTTGGTAAGGTGACACACAGACAAGTGTAAGATGTTTCTCTGCCAAAAACCATGGCACCATCTCGGCTTCTCCCGCAACTGTTCCCAGAACTGGGTACTGGATTTCTACCTCAAACTCACTAACCCGCCTGGGAGACCCAGTCCCCCAACTCAGGGAACTCACATTCCATAGTGTTTTCTCTCCTCCCAGAAATCAAAAGAGGCTGCCACCAGAAAAACAAACTCCAGAAGTCCTGTACTTGGCCGAGGCCAGAAACAAAGATGACAACAACCTGACCATCCTAAGAGAGACTTTGCTCTCAGAAAAGCCAAAGTTGGCCCAGGTGGAAGTGGACGTAAAAGACAGTGATGTGCCGCCAGTCATTCTTCCGGACCCCTGAGAATCTGAGAGCTAGTTAGGGTGCAGGGCAGTGCCCCCGTGGTGTTAGCAGACAGTGAGTGAACTGCCATCAAACCAAAGCCCTGTTAGGAAAAAAACGAACAAAACCTTTTTATTAAAATGCTTCTGGATGTGGGCAGTTGGAATTGCATAGTCTGTTCAATTGGCAGTGGTCCACACACAAGCGGCTTGAAACAAAAGTGCAAAATCCAGAGCCAGCCTGTGGGTCAGGAAGCCTGGCCAGGACTCCTCACGTGGCCTTGAGGAGTTCACAGCCTCCCTCTGACCTCGGCTTCTCCGTCTGCAGAAGGTGGCTGAAGCCTGGGCAAGAGCTATTGTTTTCAATCCAAGCTCCTGGAAGGGCTGAGTGAGGAAGGGGCAGGATTCTGGACTCAGAATCCCCTCCCCCTCCCTTCCCCCACCACAGGCCACTCCTCTACCTGCTGGTCTGCTGAGGGTCCGTGAAAGACTTCCTTTGGGTCAGGGGCCCTGGCCCTGTAGAGAGCTAGAAAACTAAGAGAGCTAGAAAGAGAGAGAGCTAGAGAACTAAGAAACTCCCTGGCTCTGAGACCCTTCTCTTGCTAACCGTGGGATCCCAAAGGAGTGTCGCGATCCCGTGTCTGAGCCACCGTGTTGCAGTATAAGCTGTGGTGGCAACCCCAAATAATTTATGCAAAAATTTGCTTTATGAACCAAAAATGCTTTAGGTAGTATCTTACAAAAGTGGACTTTGAACACGCAGACCCATTGCCAAGGGTACTAGGTCCTGCCGCACCAGACTACAAACAGAAAAGTGTGTTTCTCCCTACTGGATGTCTGATACAGCCAGTTGTGGGCTCCCTGGAGTCCTGGGTGATTGTCACTGGAGAGAATGACTTTGTTCTGCAGTTTTGATCAGTAAACTTGAGAAGGCAGGTCCTGAGGGCCTGCGGACAGAGTCCTTGATTTAAGGTTGTAAAATACGGGGGCCCTGCCTCCTGGTGGAAACACACAGGAGGCTCCCTACACTGGCCTACCCGCGGCCCTCTCCCTCTGTCCTCATTGAGAGGCAAAGGACTGGAAATAGGCCTTCCCAGGACACCTTTGCTTCTCAGAAACAGGCTGTCCCGTAGGATTATTGCAACTAGATTTTACTTGGATAAACTGTGAGGTTTGTTGCCTGGGGGTTCTGTGAAGTCAGAAGGCAAGGGGAGGGCCAGGCTCTGGCCCTGCAAAACCTGCAGCTGCCCTGCCCTTCCCGTCCACCAGGAGGTGCTGGGACCTCAGGGCAGGATGCTCTCAGGCCCACACTTATGCAGTGCCTCCTGAAGCTGTCCACCCAGAGCTGTCCACCAGGGGCCACATCAGGCCTGGCTGTAGATGGAGCAGGAAGGGGTGATGGTGCCATGATGGATGCTGCAATTTCCTTCCGCTTCAGGCTGACCCCAGGTCTCTGCGTTGTCACAGTGGCTGTTTCCTTCAGGGTGAGGGATGCGGTGGTTACCATGGAAACCAAGGTCTGGAGGGAATAGGAGCAGAATTTCTGCCTGTCCCTATTGCTCCTACAGTGAACTGGGTGTCAGGGACACTGCCTGGTGCTGGAGGAGGGGTCAGCTGTCCACCAGAGGGTGAGGGCTGCTGTTCCATCAGAAGGAAAGCCGGTGGTGAGAAGCCAGCTCCTGCCCTGCAGACTGCCCAGTGCTGAGCCTGGAATCCTAAGCAGGGGCCCTCAGAAGATCTTGAAGCCCTTCAACAGTGTCAGGGTGGGTGCCTTGCGCTTGCTCTGAGCCCGGGATGACTTTACAGTGACCAGCTTGGCCTGGGCCACAGCAGGCATCTCCTTCAGGCTAGCAGTAGAAAGTGTGTTGAAGGCGCAGCTGGCCAGCCCGTGCCGGGCCGTGAGTGGAGCCTGGTAATGCAGGGACCTCTCCTCGGAGATGAAGAGGGGCCTGGCCAGGGAGTTCTTCTCCATCTCCCGCCGTGCCTCCCGTACTGCCTCGTGGAAGACGTGCTGCACATGCTCGAAGTCCAGGCAGGCAGAGACCTCGAAAAACAGGCACCCGAACCTGCCCGCCAAGGCCACGCCCTCTGCCTGAGTGACCTGCCTGGCGGGGAAGCAGGGTGAGGCGGGGTCAGGAACGTGCATCCAAGTCAGGCAGGCCCAGGCCTACACCTGGATCCTCACTTACTAGCTCGGTGACCATCTTCATCTCTCTGAGGCTCAGTTTTCTCATCAGTAAAATGGGATAATGAGAGCTGCCTCTCAGGGTTGTTAAGATTAAGAAGACGATTTGTGTCAAGTGCCTATAGCACAGTCCCTGCTTAATAAATGGTGGCTGATGTCACCGAAGCCAGAATTTCAGAACGAGGCCAAGGGGAAGGGAGAAGCTGGCCCAAAGTCCCTGGCTAGACCCTGCCTGTGGCCAGAGGAAGATGGGTATTCCCAGCCCCACATCTCCTTGACTCCCTTGGTCAGGAAATGAGCCACCCTCAGCCCTGGCATGTGGGATCAGCTCTGGGGAAAGGCAGTGGTCTGGTTGGAAGGATGTGAGACCACAGTGTCCACAGAGGCCTGGTGGGCCGAGGTCCTGACTCAGGACGCCTGTGGTCGGCAGAGGTCTCAGGGCTCGTGGCAGGGAGTTTTGTCTGCTTGCCCAGGAGAGAGGCAGGAGAGAGCAAGGGTGACAGCACGAGAGAGGAAGGGTGACAGCACGAGAGAGGGAGCAGCACCTATTCTCAGCTTCATCCTGTACCACTTCCCATGATGATGGGATCGAGTATTTGTAACTAGGAAGGTCCTGAAAGCCATGGGAATCAGGGTGAGAGAAAAATACTGGCCCTTGGATAGGTCAGATGTCCAGAAGAGGCAGGGGGCAGGCGGGGGGAGGGGTCCCTGAGGGCTAGAGGCCAAGGTTTCAATGGCTAAATCTCACTGCTGAGCTGCCTCACCTGCCATTCCTGAGGACAGTGGCGCAGCCTGGGAGCTGAGAGGGGACACCAGGGTGGGTATGGCGGGAAAAGGTTTCTGAGCCAAGGTTAATTTGGCAGGAGCAAAGGCTGGAAGTGGGCTAGCTCAACAGACAGAGGGAATGACTGGGACAAAAGGGTCAAGGACAGAGCACCTGATCCATTCCCCAACCAGGGTTGGTGTCCTGTCAGCTCACAGGTTCCTGAGGAACTCCTTTTGAAAGAATACTTGGTATTATGTGCCTTTGTGATGAACTTGAATCTGAAACTTTGTCATTGTGGGGCTTGAATAATGAGCTTTCGGAAACAAGAACCCCATACGTGCATGTGTGTGCGTGAATGGATGAGCCGGGCATATAACATTATTACCCTTTTTCTTATTTTGGCGTAGCCTAGCGAAAATGTTATCAGTGGTTATCACCGCTCTAACCCACATTTTACCCTTTAGCTGCAAGACACTCATGGGAGACACTGACCAATGCTCAGCTAAAAATTACATTGTCTGTGCCCATCAAATCCTGACCTACCAACCTCGGGACTTGACCAAAGAAGGAAGTGGGGACAAATCTCATGACTCCTCTTAGGGAAACGATGCTGCTTTGCTCTTTGCCCCCAAACCACTTTTGGACAATCCCACTGGTAAATATTGGGACCAAAACAGTGGCCTAGTTCTTTTCCCTCATATTTAAAACTGGTTTATTCACAATCCAGTCTTCTGATCCCTATTCTAGGCTCTGAGGGATCTGTGATTCCTCAAAGACTACCTTTTGGCTTTAAGATCACACAACTTTGCTCATTCCCTGAGACGGAATTTGTCTGGGTCTGAGGGTCTGCCCACCTTTGAAGGCTCCTACCGTGAGCACCCTTTATGAGACCACACCCCATTTCCCCACTGCCCATCAGCTCCAATCTATATTAAGTGTTCCCTCCTTCCTAACATCAGTCAGTGGGCCTTTGGGGCCTGGGGAAGCAGGAGTGACCAGCCCTGAGAAGGAAGGGACGGGAGGAAGGCTGGTGGGGGGTGCCCTACCTCGCAGGTGGACTGGCCACACAGGACGGATGTGCTGGAGAGGGCCAGTGGGGTCACTCATCAGGTGGAGGCATCACAGTCTCAAACGCCTCAGGGGCCAGGCGGGCAACTTGGATGTGTGGGGAGGGTGGAGGTAAGCCACGGGGAGTGTGAGGCCTGTGTTCAGCTGGAGGGGGCACGCCCCGCCTCGAAGCATTCCAATTCCGGCTCTTTTAAAACACTGTGCCAGCCAAGCAAACTACGGCTGCAGCACTCAGTGGCCATCTGTCCTCTGGCCCAGTCTGTGGTCTCCGATTCAACTCCAACTCTTTCTAAGAGAACCTGCCCTCAGCACAGCCAACTGTGGGAATGAGCCTGGGGACCACGCTTGGGTGAGGCGAAAGCTGGTTGGACCAGGGCAGACACCTGACCCAGGTGGCCAATTAGAGCCTCTCTCCCCAGAATTGGAATTGGGCACTGGATGACCAGCCAGCTGTGGGGAGTGGAAACAGAAGGTCATATAGTCTCAGGAAAGAAAGGGTGAGGCTGAGAGAGACCTCAGAGCCTCAGGAGGATGGGAGGAGTGGCCTCTCTTCTGACATGCAGGGTCCAGCCCCTGCGCAGCCCAGATGCTCTTCCCTTCCTGCCCTTGGCTGCCTGGAAGCCCTGCCCACTGTATCCTTACAACACACCCCCTTCTATCTACATCCAAGGGGATTACTCTTCTTAGCAGCCAAATAATCCCTGAAGATGACACCGCTTTTACGAGAAAGGAGAAGGCGAGCTCTAGGATGTGGGACAAAGTGCCGCACTCACCTGTACTGGGCCATGTCCAGCTTGTTGCCCAGCAGCAGAGCAGGGTAGCTGCGCTGTGTCTCCTTCTCATGCAGAGCAAGCAGCTCCAGGTAGCTGCTGCTGCCCTCGAAGCTCTGGCGGCTGTCGACGCTGTACACCACCAGGAAGGCATGGGCCCAGTTCAGGTAGCGCTCACAGTTCCTGGGGGTGTCCTGGGGCAAAGGAGGGCAGCCTCTGTCAGGGGCAGAGGAGGCCAGGGTAAAGGCCTTCACCTGAGCTGTCTCATCCCACTTCCCCGCCCCCTGCATCTCTGTATATTGTTCCCCAGCAGGGCCCTTTTCAAAGGGGCACTTGAGTGTGGATTTGGCTTGTTGTGAAAGGAGGCATTGTTTCTGAGCCTCACTCCCACCACCCAGCCACAGACTTGGAGACCTTGGCCTCTGGGGCACAGAGCCAAGACTTTGGCATGGCCCCTACAGAGACCCGGCTGTGCCTGGGCACTGCTGGTTTTGGGTCAGGTTCATGGTGCCCCTTTGGCTTTTGAGAAGAACTGGCATCCAGCCTTGGCAGGGGGTGGTGAGGACACAGGGAGATGTACGTACTGGGCGGCGGGGCAGGGTTGGGCCAGGGGAGCCTCTGTGTAAACACGTGTGTGCACCTGTCTCCACATGTACACAGGCATCAAGCCCCAGAGCACAGAATCTCAGAGCTGACACCAACAATCATCAGGTCTCCCCAGGCCCCTTCCTATCCCTTCTCATTTGGCACATCAATAGATTCAGGCCCAGAGAGGTCAGCACCTCAATCAGGGACGCATAGCAAATTGGAGCTTAAAAGGTTTACAGATTCCCATCTGAGGTCCACACTCTGGAAGCAGGACTTCCCAAGAGGCTGCACTGACTTCAGCTCTTCATGGGTCATGGGGGTAATGTTACCAGGTCTGCAGTGTCCATGACCCTCAGGTGGACAGACTGGTGGTCCACGGTCTCCTCAGAGCTGTAGGTGTCCTCTGCAACACAGACGGTCAGCCCAGTCAGAGGCAGGGCAGGCCACTCGATGGTAGGCTGGGTCTGAGTCCCAGCTTCCCTTTGCTGGATCCCTGTGCACCCCTGGGGGCCTTGCTCTGGGGCTGGCTGAGCCAGGACCACTGGAAAGACCCTGGCTCTCACCCACATGGAGGACATGGGCAGACCCTCCCACCAAGGAGATGCTGCTCCACCTGTCATGGCCCAGAGCACCCGAGGGCACTCACAGAACATGCCACAGGGTATGGGATTGTGTTCTGGGTCCACCCACCACACCTGTAGGATGGAGTGTGTGTGGCTCACGGGCCCAGTGAGCAGCAGAGGCCTCAGGAGCTGCACTGCCAGCCCCTCCCACCTGAACCCCAAGCTTCTCCACCCCCTTCTCTCCAACCACAGTACCTGGCCCACAGGAAGACCCCAAGGACAATCAGGACAACCCTCTGGCCCCCGGTGGGGAAGGGACAAGAAAGGAGAAGCACACAACATGATTAAGGCAGGGGCCGGGGGCGGGGGGGGGGGAGGGGGGGCCAGACCCTGTTTAGGAGACCCGAGAAGGGGGGGCAGGGGATGGGGGAGGGAAGGACTGGGAGTTTGGGATTAGCAGAGGTGAACGATTATATACAGGATGGATAAACAACAAGGTCCTACTGTATAGCACAGAGAACTATATTCAATATCCTGTAATAAACCATAATGGAAAAGAATATTTTAAAAAATGTCTCTGTGGGCTTCCCTGGTGGTGCAGTGGTTGAGAGTCTGCCTGCCGATGCAGGGGACCCAGGTCCGTGCCCGGGTCAGGGAAGATCCCACATGCCGCGGAGCGGCTGGGCCCATGAGCCATGGCCGATGAGCGTACGCGGCCGGGGCCTGTGCTCCGCAACGGGAGAGACACAAAATGGGAGGGCCCGGGGGCAAAAAAAAAAAAAAAAAAAAAAAGTCTGTGTATAACTGAGTCACTTTGCTGTACAGCAGAAACTGGCACAATGTTGTAAATCAACTATATTTCAATAAAGAAAAAGAAGTCCCAAGAAGGTTTTACAAGTAATCCTTGTCAAAATAATAGCAGAGGAATCTAGGATGGTTGAAAGTTTTAGGTTGGAGATGGGAATCAAACCCAACTTCAGCTACTTTTTAGCTGTGTGCCTTGGTCAGGTCATTTCAGCATTCTGAGACTGTTTCCTCATTTTAAAATAGGGATGATGTGATAACACTGGCTAACAGTTTTCAGGTTTTTACTCCGTGCCAGGCGCTGTGCTGAATGCTTGTCCCTGCACCATTCACAGGGCTGCATGAGGACTGGATGGGCCCCTAGGCATGGGGCCTGGCCCTCCACAAATGCCCAGTAAAGGACAGTGGGGACATAGTGCTCCAAAGTTTCCAGGGCAGGTTCACATTCCTAGGTGATTTTTTTTACTTTTTATTTTGAAATAATTTTAGACTCATGTAGAAGTTGCAAAATAGTACAGAGAGTTCCTGTGTACTCTTCCCCCCCCCCAATGTTAGCACCTTACATAACCATAGTACAATGGTCAAAACCAGGAAATTGACATCGGTACCATACTATGAACTACACCACTGACCTTATTTGGATTTCATAAGTTTTTACAAATTGTTTTCTCTAAGTTCTCATGACCTCAAACCTGAGAAAGTATCAAGTGGCCAGGCCTGCAAAGAGGACCTCGCTGTCACAATCATTCTCCCTACCCCCAAATTTCCCCTGTGCCACTGGCCCACACATGTGAGTGTACTTGGCCCTCACCTCTCCCTGGGGGTGGTGGTGCCCCTGTGCCCCAAGTGACCCCAAAGAAGAACCCTCTGGGCAGAACTGGAGCCCTCTCTGCCTGTTGGTAGCAGCCACTGGGAGAAGAGTACCCCCCAGCCGTGGCGGAATTCTCTCTGAGGGCCATTGGCAGCTAAGCCAGGCCTGGACACACGCCAGGTCCACTAGCAGCCGGCAGGAGTCATAGACAGCTCCCGTCCCCAGCCTGCTGTGGGGACTTGGATAAATAGCCGTTCTTGTTCAAAGACAAAAAAAAAAAAACCTCATGGAAAATATGCCCCAAATGTTTAACTATATTTGGTGCAAGAAGAGCTGCCCCTGGATACCTATATCTCCTTCAGATTTTTCTTTATTTTCCTGCCAGAGTTGTCTGATGCATGCATTTTAGGTGCTTCCCAGCTTCTGTGCCCAAACAGGCACCATGCTGTGCCCAGCCCAAGGAAATATATTAGCCCAACCTTGGTCTCCTACAGTCCCTTAAATGCAACAGCCTTTTGAGGTTGCTGTTAGCTCTTCCATAGAGAGATGACAGGAAGGTGAGGCCCAGAAAAGAAGAGAACTCTCCCACAGCCACACAGCACCCTATCAGAAGGAACTTGAACTTGGGGCTCTACAGTGGGACCCCCTCACTCCCTCTGCTCAGTGGACAAGCCAATTCTCCAGCTCTATCTGTGCAGAATACAGGGAAAGAGCAGAAGCTCCCCGTCCAGCTGAGGCCGTGGAACATGCATGGGCAAAGTGGAGAAGGCTCAGAGGTCATGAAATCATCTTATCCAGCTCCCTCCCCCTTTGCAAGTGAGGTGACTCCAGGGGCTGGGGGTGCAGTGGGGGCTCCTTTCCAAGTCACAGTAATGCCCTGCCCCCCCATCCCAAAGTCCCTGCCCTCTGGTCATTCTAGAGTCCTTTAGTAAATACGGGTTTCATAACTGCTAGTTCTAAATAACATTCTTAGGACTTAAATGCTGAGAAAAGATCCCTTTCCTAAAGTATTTTTCTCTCATTTACAGCAATAATTTTTAAAATGTCACTAAAGGAGCTCTGGTCAGAGTGTGTATGGGATGATGCTTCAGAAATGGTGCCAGTACCCTTGTTGGAGCAGGATGAGGAGAAGAGCGGTGAGAAGCTTGTCATTCTGCCCTGGGCAAACCAGGCGAGATGCCCCCAATCCCTCTGTGAGAGGAGGGTGTCCTCCTGGATACCCCTGCTCGCTTCCTGGAGTGCTCAGCACAGGTGAAGCCCTTTCACAGGCACTGACTCTCTTGGCTCCTACCAACTCTAACAGTCACAACCTATAACAAGGCACAGCTCACACACAGAGCACAGTCTATTAGTCCTATCTTCCAAATGGGGAAACCAAGGCTCAGAGAGCCCAGTGCCACACAGACTTCTGACTTCAGGTCCTCGATAGCATAAGGCCACCCTTAGTGAAGGGCAACTGGAGTGGTGTCTCATCTTCCTTTGTACCTGAGGTTCTCCATGATCTTAGGCAAACCACTGAGCCCTCTCTGCCTCAGTTTCTTTACCTGTAAAATGGGGATAATAATAGGAGCTCTTCTTTAAAGGGTAATCCTAAAACCAAAATTCAAATCCCATGTTTAACAGCATCTGTGTTGTGCCTAGCACTGCACTCCAAGCTGGAGATAGGAATGAACATCACAGGTGTCCACCCTCAAGAGGCCCCTTTGAGCTCAAGCTCTTGGAAGGTGTTTGAAAAGGGGGGGGGGGGGGGGGGGGGGGCTTCCCTGGTGGCGCAGTGGTTGAGAGTCCGCCTGCCGATGCAGGGAACACGGGTTCGTGCCCCGGTCCGGGAAGATCCCACATGCCGCGGAGCGGCTGGGCCTGTGAGCCATGGCCGCTGAGCCTGCGCGGCCGGAGCCTGTGCTCCGCAATGGGAGAGGCCACAACAGTGAGAGGCCCGTGTACAGAAAAAAAAAGAAAAGGGGAAAGGGTGGTTTTACATCTCCACATGGCTAACTCTTCCTTGGACGCTCAGACCTTTCTCCACAGAAGGAAAGGCTCTGGTCCGAGAGTCCCCCCCTGTTGCTGGAACCAGCCATGGGATAGTGGTGGGAATGTTCAGACAGTGGACAGGACCCCCAAGGAGCAGCACTGGCCTCCCAGAATGGCCGACAGGAGAGCGTCTGGCCATCTCTCCAGCTCAGAAGCTCTCAGGGTGTGGTATGAGACAAAAGGCTGAGGTGACTAACCACTGTGGAGCTGCCACACCCCCGCCTCAGACCGTCTGACCACGCATTCCCTTGCCAGTTCAGAACTCCAAAATTGCTCAACCAGGAAGCTCAAAGCACCACTGTAATAGGCACCTCTGGTGGGACCCTGCCTGAAGGGTATGGATGGGGGACAGGAAGAAGAGAGACTGGAGATAGGTTACCAAATAAAATACAAGATAACCAGTTAAATTTGAATTTCAGATAAACAGCTAATACTTTTTAGTATAAGTATGCTCCATGCAATATTTGAGGTAGGCAGAATCTGTCTTTTGAGCCACTGTCCTTGAGAATCTCCGTTTTCCCTTCCCAGACATCCCTGCTGTGTGCCTTCCCTTCCCACCCATTCCCCCACCCCGCCCATCTGACTTCGTGCTCCTGTGTCTCACTCCCCTGGGCACTGACCCCTGGTAATCGATGGGCTCCCCTCAGACCTGCTGGTGACCCTGGCCCACAAAGCTCCTTGGGCCTGCTTCCTCTGCTGTAGCCGAGGGGCTGTGTCAAAGCACAGGCGGTCACACCAAACTTTGAGGAACAAACCCCTTAAGGACTGTCCGCGAGTTGCCTGCCCTGCATTCCTGACTTAGCCAGGGGACTCCCTCTGCTTCCTCTGCTTGACCCCTGGGGTTCTGTGTAAGATCTCCGTGGAAGAGGGGATTCTGCTACGTAAGGAATAAATTCTAAAAACCACTGGACCAAGTAGCCTTGACATCCCTTCCTGCTCTGACACTGGGATTCAACATCCCAGCCCGGACTGAGGGGCTGAGGGGCACCAGTGGGCTGAGGAGCCCTTTCCTTCAGGCGTGAAGGGTGCATTCCACCAGAGGCCTGCTGTCGGTGGTGCTGCACTGTGGAGGTTTCATTTGTGGGACCCCAGGGTCCTCCCAGAGCCCTGGGTTTCCTCAGAGGGCCTTCAGGGGTTCCACAAACGCCTTATTCAATTCCTATGAAGGGGGAAGATAATCTAAGACTGCAACCCCCATTTCCAAAGAGCATCCAGACACCCCATTTTTCTCAGTGGAAAGTTTACCATAAAGAAATGCTATAAATGTGAGCTTTAAGTTACAGTTATATTAATAAAATTCTGCTTTTACGTATTTAGATATTGGGCTTCCATGTAAGAGGTTATTTGAGGAAAAGGTCCTGCTGCTAAAATTAATTTTCAGAAACAGTGATCTAATTAACTTGGGCGAATCTCAGCCACCACAGATGGGAAGCCATTTGAGGAGAAAGAAGGAAGGAGAAGTGAATACGCATTCAATGTCTCTGTGGGTCAAGTAGTACGCTACATCTTTTACATGTGTTATTTCTTTAATCCTCACAGTAATTCTCTGAGATAGGTATTTTTATGCCCATTTCACAGATGAGGAAACAGAAGCTCAGAGAGCTTAGGTGACTGCTTCAAAGGTGCACAGCCAATAAGTGACAGAGCCAGGATTCAAACTCAGCTCTGGCATCAGGGCATCCCTTTTTCCAATACACCATCATGATACAGCTACCAAACAAGACTAGTTCTCTTGTGTGGTTAAAAAACTGGTTTATAAGCCAGTATTACTAGGGAATTTCCCAAGTGTCTTGTCCAGCTTTTGTAGAAAAGTACACTGAATAACCATCTGGAAGAAAAACACTTAATGGATGTGCATATTCTGCAATGCTCAATTTTTTTTTTTTTAAGTTTCATCATACTTCATATTTTAGGGCAAAGCAACTTCTCTCAGTTCTCTTAATTGGGCTAACCCCCAAGTTGTCTGGGGTGAGCTGAGGAAGGGTACATTTTTGGAACTTGAAACATTTTGTCGCATGGACTGAGTCATCCTGGTGGCTCCTCCCCTCGTCCCCCAGATGTGTGGTCCTGGTCAGGCCTGGGCCCACCACGGCGGATGTGTGTTTGCAGGGGAGATCCAAGTGGGCACGGCAGGAGGGACAGGGGGGAGTGGGCCCTTACCCAAGTTGGGGTCATATTCGCTGATAAACCTCCTGGTCAGAAACTTCACCGTCAGGGCTGCAAGAAGGAGAAAGAAGTTGGCTCAGTCTCCCCATCGTGGCTGGCTGCTGGGCCCTGGAGCCTGCCCCTCTCATTTTAGGGAGGACTTATCTAGCCTTGTGACCCCTCTGCTCTCTGGAGAGCAGGGGAACTGGTTTGAGAGGCTCAGAGGAAACCAGAAATATGGGGAACCATGTCCTTCCCGGTTGCATTCTGGGATGTTTTATTTTGGAGGGGGATGGCGGCGAGAAAACAAATGAGAAGCAAGCCTAAGGGGCGTTTGTGAAGACCCTAACTAAGGGGTCTGGACCCAGGCAAGCAGTTACCTTAGGGTCAACTTGCTGAGACTCCAAGTGAAGAGAGACCTCCCCCACCCTTGACAAGGCACAAAGACTCTGAAGTGTGGAGGCATTTATCCCAGCTTTGGCTACAAGCCAAAGAGAGAGTAAGAGCTGAGTTATCAGTGGGTGATCTCTGGGAGGGATATGAACCCCCGAATCCCAAGTAAACACACTCTAGTCCTCAGTCCTCGAGTCTTGGCTCTAAGGCCTCCACACTCATCATGGGAGTGTCACAGAACATAAAACCTGGGGAAGTTCTCCCCAGGTGGAATGCATTAACAAGATTGATTTTGTTCAGAATTTAACCACATAAAGCTGAGGGCCAGCCCACTACTATACTGAACTCTTAAAAAGTAATGCAGTATTTTAAAGAAAACCCTTAAAATTCTTTCCCAGGATTCCTAACAGTGTCAGTTTGCAAACTAATACCCAGGGAATACATATTTTAAAATTTAAATTCTTTCATTCATGTAGTCACTGGCTAAACTGTACCAGTGACAGAGCCACAGATAACAATTTGATTTTCAAAGGGAAGAAGGCAAATCTTTTCTCTAGGAAAGCATGATCCAGAGTCCCATCTCTGAGCCAGGGGGCTGGCTTCAAAAGTGGAGAGGAGGCTCCCGGTGAGTCTCACAGCTGAGTCCATGATGGCCATTCACTACATGGCTGCAGCTGGAAAACAGCCAGGGGAGAAGCCCCCTCTGCCTTCCCCCCTTCAGCTGCCTGGGACTGGGAATGGCGGGGAGAGCGGTGAACCCTTTTTCTGGATCTTTGCCTATGGTGACACCCCCCACCCCCACCCCCTGGGCTCCAGCTGCCAAAGGTGGTGAAGGCAGAGTTCAGTGTTGATAGAAATGGCCTGAGTGTAAATCCAAGCGCTTTGTTCATTAAGAACAGGTCGGAGGCACCTGAGACCATAGTCCAATGTGTTTCCGTAAAGTCAAAAGAGGGGTTTGACTTGAAACAAATACATTTGATAAGAATTCACACTTTGTTCCAGAATCCCAGAGAACTGGGGTGGGGAGTGGGTAGCGGCCTCTCCCTGGGAAATCCCAAAAGCCAGCGACTTTTACCACCTCCCTTCAGGGGCCTGGGGCCCCTTCTCCCCTGGCCTAAATCAAGGAGCAGCAAGGCTGAGACTAAGCTCCGTAGGGGCCCTGGGCTGGGGATCAGTGCCTAACAGGTCCCTTTGGTGTCAGTCACCAGGGCTGACTGCTGGCCAGGAAGAGGAGATGGAGGGCGGTGAACGGCAAGGGGGAGACCAGCAGAGGACTGGGAGACACAGAGACAGAGGGGAGACAGCTGGGGTCACAGACAAGGAGCACACAGACACAGTCGGGAGACACAGAGGGAAAGACAGGCCAGGAAGAGAAGACAGCTGAGAGCTGGAGGAGCTGAAAACAAGCTGAGGGAGAACCAAGCAAGAGAAGCTGAGGCAAAGAAGGATACCATCACGGCGTCTCATCCAACCCACCTGGGCGCAGGAAGCCCCGAAAGCCAGTGGAAAAGCCTGCCCGCAAGCCCACAGCGCCCCGTTCCCTCCACCGCTCCCCGTCTCTCGCGTCCCCGCCTGACCCCTTCCCTCCCGCCCGCACCCCACTCACCGGACTTGCCCACTCCGCGGCGCCCCAGGATGGCCAAGTTGACCTCGAGGGGTGCGCTCTGCTGCCCGCTGCCCGCGCGGGGTTTCCCGAACACCGAGGACATGGCGACGCTGCGGAGGGGGAGACGGGTGCTGGCCTGAGGGCCCCGAGCAGCGTGCCCGCCCGTAGGGGCCCTCGGGAGCGAGTGGCGGCCTCTCTGGCACTCACGGCCCCGGCGGCGTCGGCCTCCCGGGCCCCGCGCCTAGCAGGCAGCCTTCCCGCGGCCAGGCCCGACCGCGCGGGGAGGAGGGGCCGGGGGAGCCCGGCGGGCGGGGCCGCCCGAGCGCCGCCAAACTCCTTGTAAGGGCTGCGGAGACCCCTGCGAGCGGAAAGGATCTCTGGCCGGCCGCGCCCCCCCAGGGCCTTGCTGGACCTCGAGGGCCGGGCGGCGCCGTCACCCTTCGGAGCGCCCCCAAGACCCGGCGGGAAAGGACAAGTACCAGAGAGAGGGAGGCCAGGGATAGGTGCACTGAAGGGAGGGATGTCTCCAGCCTTGTCTGAACCTCCATTCAGTCATTTCCCATCAGCAAGAAGATCCACCCCTCCCTTTGTTTTACCCAGCTGGCCCCGCCTCCTCCTCCGGGAAGCCTGCCGGGTTCAACTCCGAGCCTGGTCCTTTCTCTGGATCACAAACCAGCTCAGCCTTGGCACACAACTTCCCCGACCACATTACCCTGCCCTTCGGTGTGGGGACTCTCAGGCATCACTACAGAACCCGTAAAGAATCCTAGCTTCTGGGAACGGGGTGGGGGGGCGGGGGGGGAGCTGGGGGGAGACGACTTTACTAAGATTTCATGGCCAATCTGGGTCCAGCTTCAAGAAACCAAACCCATTCTGGATTATTGTTTTCTCTCTGATGGGAGCTAATGAGTCCCACGTGTTTGTGGCCTAGTGTGTAAATGTGGCATTTTATTCTAAAACCTGGCAGTCCCTCTTGCCTATGATTCTGGGATTGGTGGATGAGCCTGGCAGGGTCACCTGTCATTCCCCTTGAAACCCGGGGTAAATCTGGTCATGCTGGAAACAGGGCAAAGGGCTGACATGAGGAATCTGGACATTTAGGATCTAGTGCCCGCTCTTTCACTGGGTGACCTTAGGCAAGTCATCTCACCTCTTTGGGCTTTGGTGTCCCCATCTATAATACTAAAGGAAGGGGAAAATAAATCCAATTCAAGCCTAATGGAGAGTGACAAGATAAACCCTGGGTTCCATGTCTGAGTACTTTCTAGAACCCTGTGGGACCTCTCTTTTGGAATACACTCCAGCCTTGGGTGGAGAAAGATATGGGAGTCTCAGAGACTTCTCACTGCAGCCCTTCCCCTTCCAACCCCAAACCCCTATCCTCCCATAGCTAATCTACCCACCCATGTGCAAAAGAAACCAGGAAAACCCAGGTCAGCAGGCGGAGGGTCTGGAGTCAAAGCCTGATGGTAATAACTTCTCCTCAACCAAGAGAGAAAATTATTTTCCAGGACAGGACATGAATACCGACTCAGCCTAATAGTGTTTCTGGGAGATCATGGTAAACCAGCTGTGTTATTAAGACTCTAAGGTGTTGGGAGGAATTTGTTTAGATTACACCCACAGGCCAGAATCGCTCACAGAGCTAATGGCCAAGGGTTTTCCTTTGAGTTGTAGAAGGAGAAAAAGTGGGAGCCAAGTTCTAGCCACATCCCTGGGCTGGCCCTAGTCCTGGGAGGACAGACTGGTTCTGGGTGGGGCTATGCGGAGACTCAGTCTCACCGGAGAACTGCTAGAGAGAGGGCAGGCTGTGGACCCCCAGAGGCCCAACTGGGAGTAAACCTGGGCTCTGCTACTTCCCTACTTATGTGATTCTGGGGGAGTTATGTTCCTTATCTTTAAGACTCAGACCAACCAGTAGATGGGAGCTGCAAGGAGGCAGGTTCTAGCTCAGTGTGAGTGTGAAATCTAATCACCTGAGCTGCCCATAGTTAGAAGGGACTACTGTCTTTGGAAGAAGTGAGCCCCCTGACTCTGAAGGTAATCAAGGGGGTGACACTAAAAGGAGGTGTTGTAAGGAGACACCACAATGATTTGCAAGATGGGATGAGATGACCTTAACTCACTTCTATTTAAAAGATTCGAATTCTTTGCCAGCTGGTTACTCAGGCCCTCAGCTGTGACCGCTAAGTGCCCAAAGTCTGCCCCTCCTACGAGGCTTGGGAGGAAAACAGTGCCTATCTCACAGCTGCTACCACTCCCATTCCCCATCCTCAGCTTCCTCATCTGTGGGCTGCTTGTCCAGCACTCAGAAGTGCCCCTTGTGGACCAGAAAGGCTCTTGGAATCAGTCACTTACTGCCAGACTGTGGAATAAGCTACTTTGTCCATCTGGGCCTCAGTTCCTCATTTTATTACTCCCTGTACATTTTTTCTCACATATCACTGTATTCTCAACCACTACCAACAGTTCCAAAATCTATCCAAAAACACAGTCAAAGGACTTCCCTGGTGGTCCAGTGGTTGAGATCCTGTGCTTCCACTGCGGGGGCACAGGTTCAATCCCTGTTCTGGGAACTAGGGTCCCACATACTGCGTGGCGAGTCCAAAACAAACAAACAAATACAGTCAAATAATTATGGAAATTTGATATAGGAAATTTGAAGTGCTGAGTCAGACCTAAAAGATTAAAATATAAAAATTTCAACATTTCCACCTATGTCATTCCCTGGGGGGTACAATTTATTGAAAGGAATAGTCATTGTTTTTATACACAAATACCATCACCAAATTATTGACCTGTCTTGCGGATTTTTTAAAAATCTATGAATAATGTTGAGCTGAAAGGACTCTGATTTAAAGGATTTGAAATACACGTGTTTGGAATTCCTACCAATGAGAAATCATCATTGACTCTCAGGTGCCCTTCTTGGTCTATTTTTCAAAGACCCCAAACTCATTCAGAATTCCCAGAGTTGCAATATAATTAAATATCTATTAGACTAAGCCAATATGATAATAATCTCCTTGAATTATTCACAATGCTTAATGCACTTCTCTGTTTTTGTTTTTTGGGTTTTTTTTTTTGCGGTATGCGGGCCTCTCACTGTTGTGGCCTCTCCCGTTGCGGAGCACAGGCTCCGGACGCGCAGGCTCCGGACGCGCAGGCTCAGCGGCCATGGCTCACGGGCCCAGCCGCTCCGCGGCATATGGGATCTTCCCGGACTGGGGCACGAACCCGTGTCCCCTGCATCGGCAGGCGGACTCTCAACCACTGCGCCACCAGGGAAGCCCCACTTCTCTGTTTTTTATCCATCTGTTCCTTATTATCATACTAAGAGGTAGTTATCACACCCATTTCATAGTGGAAGAGTTACAGAGACACCTCGTCTTTAAAATAGGGATGATATTAAGTATTGGATGAGATAACATGAAACTATTCCACCTAGAGGTTGGCCCATAGCCCAAAACGGCAAATGATAGTTCCCTGCACTCCCCTGGACACGAATAGCTCACACTTCTCACCCAACTGCCAAGAAGCCACAACTGTTTAGTGACCAGGAATTTGGGCACTTTGGGTCAAGAGAGAGGTTATTCTGCTAGGGTCAGTATCCCAACCCTCCTTATCACCACCTCCCCACATTTGAGGCTCTTATAAGGGGCCCTGGGGCCCTCGAACTGCAGAGGATGTGGCCCCTCACCCAGCAGTGGGCTTGCAGCAGGTGCTCAATAGGTGGCTCTGGAGTGAGTGGGGCACATACAGGTCTAGACAGGTAGGACTAGATCCTGCCCTTGCCACCCACCCCTACTCCCACCCCCAGAAGCCATTCCACATAAAGGTAACCTTTTGGGACCCCTTTGTGATGTCACTGCATTCCCTGGAGGCACAATATGACAACCACTTCTGTGATTTTTCAATTATAAATTCAGATGTCAAAACTGAACAGAACCTTAGAAGTCAGATCCAAGCTCCACTTTACAGATGAAGAACTGAGGCCTGGGGATTTCCCTGGTGGTCCAGTGGTTAAGACTCCACACTCTCAATGCAGGGGCCACAGGTTTGATCCCTGGTTGGAGAACTAAGATCCTGCATGCTGCATGGCATGGCCAAAAAAAAAAGAACTGAGGCCTGGACAGGTTGGGTAGTTTTGCAAGCCGGTGGTAGTACCAGCATCAAAGCCCAGCAGGAATCCTGCCTCCTAGTCCAGTGCTCTTCTTCAGGTCCAGGCAAGCTCATCACTACCCTGTGTGCAGAAATACCACCATGGGTGGCAAAGGCCAGGGGTCACCCATCAGGCAGGAGGGCCAGGAGGTCACAGTTGGAGGGAACTTCAGTCTCATATGGTTCAACACCTTCATTTATAGTGGAGGGTCGGAAGGGGAATTGTGCAGGGTGGTGGAGCTGGGCCCAGTCCTCCACCAGATTGCAGGCTCTCCTGGGTCAGGGGTTGTGTCTCCTCCATCAGACTGGGGATTCCTACTTAGGTTAGGGCTCAGAAGTCCACCAGATCCCTCAGTGTGCCAATCACTGCAGATAGAGAGATGTACAAGGTGGGGCGTGTGCTCTAGAAAGGCTCAGGGTCTGACACAGAGCCCCTTTCCTTGCCTCCACCCTCAACCTTGCTAAGTAGAGAGGGAGGTTGGTGTGGGGTCGGGCAGAGCCTGGGAACTCCGTGGGCTGCCCACAGCCATGACAGTTTCCTTGTCCTCTCCAAGTCCCAGAGGGACATTTGTTGTCCGGGTGGAGGAAACTCTCACCAGCTGCAGAAAACACCCCACTGGGGCCTTGGGCACAGGGCCAGAGTGCTGATCCTGGACTCAGCCTCAGAGTCATGACCCCCCACCTTGGTTGACCCCCTCCGCACTTCCTGGCTGCTGAGGGTGGGAGCCGGGTGTGTGTACTAGCCCTCCAACCCACTGAAATCAGGGATGGGCTTGTGAAAAACTGGGACTGGGAGGGAACTTCAGCCAGTAGGGCGTTCATGCTCCTTCCCACTCCTGCTCTCAGGAGAGGTGCAGGAAGTGGTTCTGTCTGTCTACCAGTTACTAGGTGCCAGGAACAGGCCATCTGGGGAGGGAACTGTGGCCCCCTGGGGGTCAGCCCCTTCCCCACCCGCCCCTGGCAGGAGGCAGCTGCTTCCCTTCCTGAAGAAAAGGCTGATGCAGGTGAGGAGAGGCACCTGGGCTGGGGCCTGGGGTCAAGTGGACGGGGTTCAATCCATCCCACATCTTCATTCATAACCAAGGCAAAGCCCATTCCATCTCTAGGCCTCCCTTTCCTCATGTGTGAAATGAGAACAGTCAGACACTCTCCCTATCCTTGAGACCACTAGCAAGGACAGAGTCAGGACTGGGCACGGCAGAGCCCACTTTCCTCCAAGGAGGGGCTGTCATGCTTTCAGCCAACGTCTAGCCTCAGGGAAGGAGAAAAGCTGGCAGAGGGCCTGGGATAGTAT